AGAGAGAGAGAGAGAGAGAGAGAGAGAGAGAGAGAGAAAGAGAGATCCATGGTGAAACTTTTAATTACATGCTTGGGAACACCAAGCAGTCCCTTTCCTTAACATAAACTCACAGGTTTTTTATCTTTGGCATCTCGAGATAACTGCTTCTCTGCTTTCTCCTTGCTAAATCTTCCAGCTCTTTTCACAAAAACTGAGCCATGCTGTAAGAGAAGGAGAAATTACAATGTTTAGAAATTTCTTTTAATTCTATGGTACCATAAAACATAACTTTTTTCTCAAAACCACATTCAACTGTCCCCATTGTATATGAAAACATTTCAGTGCTCTGCAGTTTATAGGGGTACACATAATTTATATTTCTTTTTTTTTTTCTTGTTTCTTCAAATTTCCCTAACATAGAAATACAACACTAAAAATACATGGTATTTAACACAGTGTTCTGACTTGTAAGTTCAGAAAACACTGCCTTAACTCCTTATCTCTGGCAAGACGCTCCCAGCGGTCAGAACCGTTGTACCAGTGATCCGATGCCAGCAGCTCTGACAAATTGTTGCGACGACAACAGCATTATATTAATTTTTTGCAGTAGATTTGTCTCTGTTACAGAGTTTTTAAAAAATAAGATGAAGAACTATCAAAATAAATTCATTTGTTTTGATTTAATGGCCAATTAAGTGATGTGTATGTCACTCAGGTATTGTACCAAAGTAGGGCTCCCATATTGTGGGAAAACCCCTCCAGAAATAAAAAGTTAAACATTAAACACAATCCTTTCCACTCACCATCCCAAGGTAAAATCCATACAAAGGCAAATATCTCAGGCCATCCTTCAACACATAACGCAATCGGCCTAAGCTGCCTCGTCGTAGCGCCACAGAGCTGGCCATCACCCAGTCCACTAGAAAAAAACACAAAAACAAAACCAAACCCAAAATAGGTGAGAGAATAGTTTCCCACACCAACAAAATACCCATATCATTTCTTGTCAGTTTTTTATTGTGTGCTTTTAAATAAATGAAAACACAGCAGCTAATTGATAAACTTAGTGACAGTTACAAAGTTTCAACTTTTTCTTTTGTGCTGATCAAAAGTAAGTTGTGGTATAGTCAGATATACCCTCAGATCTGTTTGTATCTATTTATAATAAGCCAGAGCCTCATTTCTAGAGACTGACTGTCACTGCTCTTAAAAAGAGTACGTTTAAAAAATTCAATACAGTAGTCTCCGCCTAAGATCCCGGTGCTCGGGAGCAAGAAAAAGCGGGATCTTAAGCGAACCGGGATCTTAACCGACGAACCCAGGGAAGAATCTATGGTGACCCATGTTAAGGCCCACAATCAGTAAAATGGTCTCCCTCCACTCTAAAATGAACTGACGTGACCGCTTGGTGGGTTTATGACGTATGGCGAGCAAAGAGTGGTTAACCTTGATGACCTATCACAGGGCATAGTGGGATGAGGCGTGCCATTTTCACTTATTATCCTATCATGAGGCTCAAGATCTACGCTTATCAAGTCGCCCCTCCCCTCCCCCTTACCTGTCGAAAATGTACAGCTTTCCATCTCCCCCAACCGCCTTTGTCGTTACACACTATTACGTTGTGAACACACCAATCAGTCTGTCTCGCAAATTCGGGAGTAGAATCTGAAACAACTTCTCCAATGGTCAGGGAAGAGTTCACAGTTCAATGTGATCCCGTCAGGAGCGAACGTGTTGGCCCTACCCACCCAGCGAGTAATGTAAGTTTAGGGGGATAGCTCAGGTGTGAGTGAGATGTTCGGGGAAATCAAACGCGTCGGTTTATTGATCTCAAATTTTCACTCTTGGTTGATCGACTGTCCCGCCCGGGGTTTTTTCCGCAAATTATGATCTGAAATGCGGGATCTTAGCCGAATGTAGACCTTCAGAGTGAATCAGAGCGGGATCTTAGGGGTGACTTTTGTATAGTAAAAATTATGTTTTCTTAAAACAGCGGGATCTTAAGCGAACCGGGATCGTAAGCGGTGGGATCTTAGGCGGAGACTACTGTATCTATAACTGAATATATGTCTCACCCGTGCATTGATGATTGGAGATATACAGTGCGTTTTCACCAAGGACCAGCTCTTTCATGGACTCTGGGTCACCATAGAACATCAACTGACAATAAAAGGAAACAGAAAAATCACATGACTTCCGTCAGATACACAACTCATTCTTTGCAAGCAAAGCCTCCAAATTACAGACACCCCTAAAGGCATGGAAAGATGAAATTTAGAAAACGTATATGAGCACAGTAGTGGAAATCATTACATATACATGTAAAAAAGTATTACGGTATACAGAAATACACTCAACTGTGCACCCATGTAAAAAACTTGTAAATACTCTAAATTATGATCTACACTTAACACTTGTATCAGAAATAGTCTGTAATTTCACTATTGTCAGTTGATTCATTTCTTCACAAGAAAGTTTTATTCCATAACAGTAAAGTCCACAAATCTCGAACATGAAAGTCACGAATTCTCGGGTATCTCAAACATAATACTCGGTCCTGTTTCAGTCCCAATGTTTTCTTTGTATCGACTTGACAAAGTTCCCTAACACGCTACACTCAAATCTCGAACAAATCCACTTCGCATTCTCAACTACAAACCCGGCTCTACAGCCTTTCTAGCCGCGGGTAGGTGATTCTTTGTTATTGCTACAGCCAAAACGTGGTTCTTGTCTCACCACGAGAGGGGAAGAGGGGTTGGGGAGTGATGCTTACTGCACCACATGACTGGCTCACCACACATGCAATCATGCTGTGGGACACGTGCGGTGCCGATGGCGAGAGGCGTAATTTTCTGTAAGCCAATTAAATGAGAGGAAAGGAAAGACATAGGAGTCGGCTATGCAAATGGGATGTTTTCTGCTTTTCACTTTCATTCATCTTCTTCCTTTCAGACCATCCACACGTTCATCAGGGGAGCTAACCATGTTAATTGTTTTAATGTTCTTTTTCACCTTCCTTGATTTTCTCTCTATTTCTTTGTATTTGGGGCTTTCATAGACATGACAAATTACAAAAATCTCGAACTCTATTTCCAATCCTTGACGAATTCAAGTTACCCATATTTGACTATATATATATATATATGTGTGATGGTACAGGAAACCCTTCAAGCAGGTTTCAAAAACTAATATCAACATTAAGAAAGTTTTATGAAGTTCCATCTTGTCTTTAAAGCAGTTTGCTTTTTATTTGAAGTCTTTTTTTTTAGATTTAAAGTTTTGAAGGCTAAGTACATTGAGAGCAATCTTTTGCTTTTGAGAAAGCCAGCTTTTCATCTATCTAAATACCAATGCTTGTAACTTCTCCTTCACCAATAATATAAGCATGGAATTACCAATAAAAACTCTAACTGCAATTCATTCTTGAGGCAAGTTAAGTTAAAATTACTGTTAAGCATACAGCCAAACTTATCTTCCATGAATGGCCCCAAGCCTAAACTAAACTGCACCTACCTCTGTGCCTGTAAGCGTTTCAAAACAGAATAGAACATTCCGCTTGTAAGTGGAGAACAAAAAATCGTCTCCCTTCACATAAACCCATCGAGGAAGAATGGCAGAGAGTGCTCGCCAAGCGGTCCACACTGTAATGTATGCGGGAGCTGCTCCAATCATAAACGTGGTCGGGACCATCCATCGCAGGTTCTGAATGAGGATCACTACTGTCAGCATTTTGAACCTGTGAAAATAATTATCAATAACGGTCCATAATGAAAAATGATTTTTATTTTTATTGACCAAAAATCCCAACCCATGTGTATAAATTATGGCAGGTGCTAGCCACCCGACCTCAGGTGGCGAGCATTTTTCTGCCCACCCGGAACCGGTCACCTAACACTAACTGCCCAGCATTTATTTCACAGTCAACAGGGTGTGTAGTAGCTCTGTGACTAGAAAAGAAGCCTCACAGCCTCTGTTCTGTTCTGTGAGAGAGAGAGAGAGAGAGAGAGAGAGAGAGAGAGAGAGAGAGAGAGAGAGAGAGAGAGAGAGAGT